GACTACAGAGTAGAATGAATTACAGCTATGCCTGGATTGCACACTCTCCACACTCAGGTGCAGGGTCCCTGACCCTGTTGCTGCACTGTGAGACACAGACATGCTCTCCCAGGCTCCTGGCTTCCCCACTACTCTCTCTCTCAGTTGATCTTCTGTGGATTACATCTTCTGAACCAAGAAATCAGCCAACCACATCATTGGAAGTTACCTGAAAAATTACATTAGGTCCTTAAAACATTTAAATTTGTTTTGTTGATACTTATTGATCAAATCTCATTAATTTTCTTCTTTTTGAATGATCACTAGAATATAATTCTAGAAACCTGTTGTTGATAAGCTGTGGAAGCAGAATTGCAACTCATGAGGATGTGTTTTCCAATGACAATGTATTTCCGTGTATTTTTGGTGCAGGGATAGTCTTGGACCAAGGCCAGGGCACAAGCTTCTTGCTAAATTATCATACATGATGGCCTCTGAAAGAACCAGGTCTTTTGGGTACTTTTTAGTTGGGGCTTTCTAAAAGCAGTTGGCATATAAGGAAATGGCTGTATTAAGAATAGTTTGAAAAATTTGTACCTTTATCATTGAATTCATTTTCAACTTGTCTGTTACATTCTTTGAAATTTAGATTATTCTACTTAAGCCATTTTATATCAGCTCCTTTCTAAGATGCATCTTCATTCTAACAATTACCTAATTTCTCTATGATTATATCATAGGATAGGTGGTCTATGCATTTGGCTTAAAAGGTCTTACATTCTTATTTGCATTTTAAAGATTTATTTATTTGTGCATACAAGAACTGGGGTACAGGCCAGAGATGCGGGGGTGAGAGGGTTCACTAGAGACAGTGTGGGAGAGCAGAACAGGCAGATAGACTGAAATACACTGCTGAGGGGAGCAGCGGGTGAGTCAGGAGAGGTCTGCCACACCATATGGGTATCTCCCTGGCCGGGGAATGAACTTGTGCTGCAGTGGCTGGCGATAACTTCATGGGTTGTGTCTTAACCCCTTGTGCCACCAGGGAGGCCCTTATTTGCATTTTAAATGGAGAATTTACCCCGACTTTGACAGGCATCATAATCTCTCATATCCACAAATGTAACTGGCAACTGTTCTCTCCTGTGTGCATCCGTGCCCTTCATTCTGCTTTGGGACAGTGAGGAGAGTCTTCTACAGAGCATGTTCATTTGTAGCCAGGGAGGCTGACAGGTTAATGAAGAAGTGACTTTAAGAACTTCAGACGCACAACTTCCGGGAGTGGAAAAGTCGGCCAAACCAGGATTCATAGTGAAAGCCTCTTCACAGGCCAAGTCTGCCTTTTCTTGATATATGCTAGTTTTGAGCTGTTAGAACTGAAACTGATCCTTTAATTGATGGCCTTGTTTTTGATCACTTCCTATGAGCCAGGATTATTTAGTAACAACATTATAAATGAAATCATATAAAACAGAGAGTTGTAGGGGAACACTATCACTGTACTCTTTTGACAGTTACAAACTGAGGCTAAAGAAAATAAGCAAAGATGAAGCCCATGTATCCTGCTGAAGATCTCACAGCCAGTAAGAAGTGGACCCAGGGTTTAGACTTAGCCTGGCTCCCTGAGCCTAGACCCAACCAAACACGTTTCCTTTCCTCTTGGTCTGGTACAGTGCAGTGTTTCTTCACCTTGACTTATTCATGGGCGCTCTTACCAAAAAAAAATCTCCTTAACTCCCAAAGTATATTTAAACTAATTCTAGACTATTATTTAAACATGTATAAACATAAAACGAAGAATGATCTCTAAGGTAACACCATTTTTATAGTCACAAAACTGAATGCAAAATATGTTTTGTAAGAGAACTCCAAAAGCAGCTTAATTAAGATGAGCAGTATTAGCTTACTGTTATAGATAACACCACTGGTGGCAGAGTTGTCAATGGTGGGAGCCACAGTAGGAGAAGAACGCATTCTCCAAGCTGAGGTTTTATTTGTGGTCAAGTGGGCCTGTTATTATTTTGGGCATGATTGATGCTGTTATTCTAAATTGTTAAACTTAAGCTACTAATACATTATTTTGAAATGGTAACGTAGTAGAGTACCATTCCGAAAAATACCACTTGGCGAATTATTTTCTTTTACGTCTGCACACATACACTTAATAATATCTACTGAGTCACCATTCCTTTACAAAACCACAATTTCAGGGTCCAGCTTCACCTCCCCTGTCACATGCCTATCATTCACTCACCACCCAAGCTCTAATGCCATCATGCTGTGGAATCCACACCTTCCCTTCCTCACTGATCATCCCCTCGCTTTCCCCAGAGTTTTTTTTTTGTTGGATTTTGCCAGTTTGCTTTATGTACCAACTTGATTTCTGATAATGAACTCTTTCAACTTGGGGGAGCAAAGATGAGACACATGTGTCCTGTCCCCCTAGTAGGGTGAATGTGATACTGAGTGTTTGGGGTACACTTCAAGTCCTGTGTGCCCTTGTATGACTGGCAAGGACTCCAACACATGAGCACCAGGACTGCATGACCCGGCTGTCGTTCTGCTTTCTGGAGGCCATGTGCCCTTCACCGGTGCTAGCCAGAGGGTGAGCTGACGTGGAGCACTTGACATCAGTGCTGACGTTGGAGTAGTGTGTGCTCTTTGTGATGGTAACTGCACAGTGACATTACAGGTCAGCTGATGGCCCCCTCCCACTGCACAGTCTCAGTCCCCACCACACAGTCTCAGAAGAAAGTTTTGTTTTGTTCTATTTTGATAAATAATGTAAAGGCTTTGAGGCCCCTCATTTCTCAGTAATGTTGGAGAGTCAGAAACCTATACACACAGTGGAGGACTGTTCTGCTATAAGGAAAAGTGAAATGTTGCTGTTCACAGCAAAATGGAAGGACTTCAGGGAATTTACAGTAGCAAAGTAAGTCAGAAAGATAAAGGCAAGCATTGGATCACTTTATATATTTGAGTAAAACAAATCTATCAAAGCAGTGGACTGATAAAGCAAAGTAATTATAAACTAGTGGACAGTGATACAAAAGTGCGGTTTCTGACTTTTGAGGGAGTGAAGAGGATGAAAGCATCAAAGGAGGGGTGTGGGTGATGGTGGGGGCGAATTTGTGTACAGGGATATTACCACAGGCGCGTGCACACGCACACATGCACACACACTCCGGCTTACTCGCTTACTTAGAGGCAGACAAGGGTAAGCAGGTACCTTGTCTGTTTTGAGGGCCATTGAAAGTGCTTCTGCCCCAAGTGCTTCTGTCTCCCCCTTGCCTTATAATCTCTCCTGTTTCTTTTCCCATGAAGTCCACTTTCTCAAGCCTGCCTTATTTTATTTTAAATACAAATCCCCCTATAAAGAGGCAAAGTAGCCACAGCACCATGTTTCAAGAGGTTCTGAGATATTATTTGCCTCTGATGGTGGAATATGAGGAAATCTAGAAGCATTGTTTTTTTTGGGGGGGGGTCAAAAAAGGAGGAAGATTTTCTAAATTCCTGCTATGAGTGAGACCATCTAATTAGGCACTAGGAAAAAGACTAATTATAAGAAAGTAAAAATCAAAATCAACAAGCAACTATAAACCAGAGACACACTATGGGGGGAGGGAGTAGGATCAAAACAAGGGGGGTAGGAATTGTATGGGGACTACAACCAAGATGAAAATGCATACACTGTGCAAAAATGGAAAAAGATGTAAAATATATGAAATAAAAAAATATAAAAAGGAGGAAGAGCCAGTGAGGACAAGGTTTTGAATTCTTTCCTGGAAGCAGCCCTTGCTGCATTCAGAGACGATTTTGCTGTGTCTGACGGTCTTTGTGGTCTCATAGTTCTGAAGCCTTGGTCCCAGGGGTGCTGTTCCATGGGCAAGAAGAAAACACTCTGATCTGAGCAGGAAACAAGATGATCTCACATTTTCTTAGGTGCCTCCTGTAAGTCCTGACCACAGTGTAGTCTTGAGTCTCCTGGGTTTGCTGGGAGGAGGCAGGTCTGACGGCTGCTCTTTCAGTCCCCGCCTGGCACCCAGAGCACAGCTGGCAGTTCAGAAGTTCTGGCTCTGCTGCCCTGGGACTCGGAGAAAGGAAGTTGGGGTGTGTGGGCCCCTGCCGGGCTCCTTCTGGGAGCCCGTGCTTGGTTCTGCCTCAGCCGTGATTGCTGAAGGGAAGCTTCCTGCCGGGAGACGCGGATATGTGCTGGGAATGAGCCCTGGTGCCCAGGTGCCTCCACATCACGCTGGACCTGTCCCCCACTCTCCTCCCAGCACTTTCTTCAGTTCCTCCTGATGGTGGCGGCCGGGGTCACTGCCCTGGAGGTCGTGCCTTGAAGTTCCCTAGAGCCGACGTGGTGCCTGTCCAGCATGTGGCCCTTTCTTCATTCCTGACCACTTGCTGGAGCCCAGATCACTTGTCTGGATGGTCAGCCGTTGCCCCCAAATGCAGAAGCCTGCGGCTCCCCACTGCCCCCTCGCCCCACGGTGGATCTGCTCTCTGGCTCTCTGCTGTCCGTGAGCGCCTCCTCTGTGCTCTCTTGCTCCCTCCCACCTGCCCCCCGCCCCACATCGCTTTGCTGTTTCCCCCCTGAACTAGAGCTGAGCATCCCCTTTGAGCCCTCTTCCCACCAGTGTCCACTGCCCGTGGTCTCTGCCCCGGAGTGGGTACACGCAGCCTCGCCTGGCCTCTGCCCACCGCGCCTCTGCCTGCCTGTAGCACATTGCTTGCCTCAGGCCTCACCTCCCGCATGTGAGAGTGTCTGTTATTTAGGAGGGTAAATGGAAGAGGGTGATAGAAGTTGAGAATAGGGCAAATGATTCAAATGAAAGCAGAGAAAAATATAAGGATGGAAGGGAAACTAGTGCCAGGAGGGAGAGAGGAGGGTCTTCACAACACTAAGCCTTGAAATACCATACGATCCAGCTACTCGAGGTCTGGGTGTTCAGCTGGAGACCATGGAAACACTAAATCAGAGAGATAGCTGCACCCCCATGTTCATGGAAGCATTACACAGCAGTCAAAATATGAAAACAGCTTGAGTGCCCATGGGTGGACGAGTGAATGAAGAAGACATGGTGCATACACGCAAAGGAATACTGCTCAGCTATAAAAAAAAGAAAAAATAGACAAAGTCATGACTTACAACAACAGAGAGAAGAGAGGTTTCTGGAATTTGGAGCACAGAGTCCCAGAGCATACAGAGACGTGGAAAGAACATGGTGTTAGGAAGGTCCAGAGGCTGTCCCAAGAGAGCCTGCCCTACACGGGGTCCTTTACTATCATTGTCCCTGCAGGGCAGCAGGCCGCTCCAAGGTGACGGCTCTTCTCGAAGTCTGCAGAGGGTGCCTGTGCCTTAGTGATGGGCTTCAGAAGCAGAAGCATGCATTTTGCAGTGGATTAGGGTATGAGGTGATTACGTTTGTTCTTGTGGTGCTAAATTAGATGTGGAAAAAGGAAGTATGATCTTAAAAAAAAAAAATCGAAAAGGTTCACAAAAGCTTCCTGAGAAACCCATTTTCCATTATAGCAAGAGAAAGGTAAAAAGGACATTCGTTTAAAAATTCATAAAGGCAGCCTTATGCCCAGTGGAAACATTCCTTCGAAAAAGAGCAGAGGTTGGCACTTAAAGACACAGTCCCCAGCATTTGTCAGAGTCTGCCCAGGAAGCGAGCGCAGGCCTCTCTGCAGATGGCAAGGGGTTTAAAGAAACAGGACATGGCTGGCTTTATGGTATGCCTATGAGGAGAGCGGGCACAAGGGCCTTCTGGGATGGTGTGGCTAAAGGCTTGCTCATATTGACGGTTGACTGAGGGCATCTGCAGACGTGATGGACAGTTTAGTGTGTACGAGCTGAAGACTCATGTCAGAATTTCTTAGTCCCGCTTTTCAAATTGTGCAAAAATTATGAAGATACTGGCATGCATTTTGGTTGTGTGTGACACACATGGACATGCTGCTTCATGTGTGACCACTATTGGTTTGTGTGTCATTCACCTGAGTTGAAAGTGGGGTGCTGGGGCAGATAAGCGAGGAAAGACAAAGCAGGTAGGACTGAGTGACCTTCTTGCTTCCAAGTCTTTCTTTGGGAAACCCCACTAGCCTTGACAGTCCTCCCAAACCCAGATTCATTCCAATGGCAGTGCATGAGCTGCTCTCTGACCTCGATTAGCCTGAGATTCTGTGTCTCAGACACTGCCGAGGGCTTCATTGTTTCTTGCAGATGGTTGTCATCTTGATGTGGAATGTAAGTATATCTCTACTAAATCCAACAGCTGGACCTGTCCTTGGGGTGGTTGTGACTCTCTCTGTTTGTGATGCTAAGAGATTTGAGACCCAGGGAATAAAATGACATACATGGGACCTTTGTGAGGTCACATGACGGGGGGGGGGGGGTAGAACAGCGATTCAAGCTAGAACTTAGGGATGGTCTCTGCCTTTTTATCCTCTGTGCTCAATCACAAACTCCGCGGCACCACATACTGTAGAAATGGATTTAGACAAGAGCGCCTCTGTGATGACTTCAAAGACTGATGCAGACTGGAATCCAAGCTTACTCTGAAATGCTATTTTTCTAATTGATTATATTATCATTTCTCAAACGTGAAAAACTGTCACATGAGTGTGGTTATTCATGTCTTAAACTATGGTTTTTCTGATATTGCCTCAAGTAGAAACTAACACTTTCAGTTCTACTTCAGAAAATTAATTTTGCCCTAAATGCTTTCAAATATAATACATGACTTTCTGTTACTCAAGAGTGCCCAAGGATAGATGATTGGGGGAGGAAGATGTGTCCATTGAAGCAATGGATACACTTGCATGTGTGGCAACATGGGTGCAACTGGGGGGATTCATGCCACACAAAATACCGATGAAGGGAAAAGACAAATACTGGATGGTTTCACTCATTGTGGAATATGGTGAATCAACAGTCAGATAAAACCAAACCAGTCACAAACCTAGAAATCTGGGTGTAGAGCTGAGGCTACACTTTCTCTGGAGAGAAAGGGAGGAGAGCAGAGCTTGGGTGGGAGGCCCCGTGGACTGTAGCAGAGGATTTGGGGTGTCTTGGTGGTGGGGGTGTTGTGGTGACATCTATTTGAAGGGTGGGATCCTCCACTTCCGAGTCCTATAATATACTGCACTAATGCTACAGCAATAAGAAAACAACAACAACTACAACAACAAAGCAAAACCACAGTCTCACATCTCTATTGAAAAGAATTATTCCTTATTAAACTGACCACTGCTGGAATACAGCAGTAATGTTCTAATCCTACCTGGAACAGGAATATCTTTTCATTCTTTCACCTTCCATAGCTTCCTCACTGTGACACAATCCACTGAATCCTGACACAGCCTAAGGCTTCTGTGTCCTTTTTCCAGGAACGTCTTTCCTTTTCTTAGGGGTTTCCCTGGAGACTTTGGTGGTGGTTCCTGTAGGCTTCTCCCCTGTCCACCATCGTTGTTGTATTCACCGAACAGTTATGGAGAGTCATGCTTTCATTGCTTGTCGACCATATGCAGCCTGCTCTCAGAACATCTTGAGAGACTGAGTGCTGGACCAGCCACTAGGACTATAGTGGGGGACAAAGAAAACTTGGTGTTTTGTTGCCGAGAAGCTAACAGTTATAAGAGATGAAAGAGAAGAAAACCGAGAGGTCTTTGTGAATGAAATGAGGGAGCTCACACCAGCGCATGTGAGGAAAGAAGATTCTGGGCAGAAGAGGGATCAGGATCGAGTGCAGAGCCCCCAGGTGGGGGGTGTTTTCTAAGTTCCAGTTTCTGACAGGGACACAGAGCACAGAGGAGTGTGATAAGACATGAGGTCAGAGAAGCAAGGAGTGGCCAGATCCCACAGGAAGCTGAGTTCATAGCCAGAGCAAGGATTCTTAAACTTGTTCCAAGGCCATGAGCCTCAGAAATGGCATTCTGGCACCCCGGAAGCAGAGGCACATGTTCCTCAGAGACACATAGAGTTGACCCCACTTAACCCCTGGCAAGTGAGTTTTACCACCTGATGAACTAGGCAAGATTGGGGTTGTCTATGGCACCCTACATTGGGAACCTGTACATGGTCTATGATGTAGACTCAAAAGTAGCACCCGAGAGACATGGGGTCCTAATTCCTGAGAATTCTAACTGTGGCCTTATTTAGAAAAAAAGGGCTTTGGCCGATGTGATTAAGGATTTTAAAGATGGTCTGCATGGGTCGGGGAAGCCGTTCACACATCAGGGAGGGCCTTAGGGGACAGTACACGCATAGAACCCTTGGAGATTAGAGCGAGGCAGTCACCAGCAAAGGAAACCCATGGCCACCAAGAAACTGCAAGACACCATCGCTCATGGTGCCCTCCTGCTGGTTGATCAGGGATAACTATCTCAGTCTGCTGGCCTGCGCATATGAGAGAACCTTCTGTAGTTGTCAGTCAGCAGGTTTGTGGTTACTCAGTGCAGGAGCGTTTACAGTCCTTATAAATATTTCTGGAATGGTGATTTAAGCTCAAGTAGGGCTTATTTAAGGGCAAATAGGGCTTTTCTCATTACACTGACAGAAGCCTGGCACCCCTATCACTATTGTAGTAGTGTTTGGGAGTCAGAATAGGTTAACCTAAGAGTCAAAGCACTAGTCCCTGCCCTTAATGGCCACTAAATCCTGATAGGACTTTGTATCTTGTCTCCCTGGAACCTACAAAAATCCCTGTGGAGTGTTTTAAGTAGGGCTTCTCATCGTGGGTTGATAAAGATCACTCTGATGGCTGAGTAGCGTGGATTGTACGAGAACTGTAACGGGAAATGTTTAAAAGGGTGCATTAGGTTTTAGAGTAGTAAGAAATAATGATGCCTTGGACTGAGGAGTTGGCACAGGAAGGACAGAGAAATAGATGGGTTTCTGATATGGCTTACAGATTGAGTTAAAATGGACTTGCAGAGGACTGAGCGGGGCTTGTGGGGGAGGGAAAGAGAAGAATGTAATGTGCTGTTTACTTTTTTTGGTATTACCATTGGCTAAGGCAGGGAAGCATTGGGGAGGACCAAGTTTGAGGAGGAAGTCAAGTTTCATCTGTGCACATGCTCTTCCATGAGGTGTTGCCCATGGCTGCTTTCTCTCCGCGGTGGTAGCGTTGAGTGACTGTGACTGAGGCCATCTGCCCGTGAACCAAAAATACCTGCTGTCTAGCCCTAAAATGAAAAGTCCTTTGCTGAACTCACATCTAAGAGAAAACAATAACCTGATGAGCATAACCAACCCAAAGCAGATTATGGGAACAGACAGATTAAAGTTAGTATTAGAGATGCTGAATATATTGAAGGCCTAGCAGGAGCAGTTAGCAATGTAGAAAAACAATTAGTTCAGGGTAGACGTGCCGAGAAAAGAATCAGTGAGTTATGCTCACCATTGGGCTAGCTGAGATAAATGCTTGATTCTTTCCCTTTATTTGCCAAGTTTCTAGATAATAAATACACTGGTTCCATTTCATGATGTGAAGTTTCCCAGTTAGTTAATTTATTATCATTATGCACTTATGGACATCGGTATCCTGTCTATCAAACATCCTATCATATCGATCAAAAATTTCCACCTCAATGAACCTGAAATTTCCCATATTTGATCAGAAGTCTCTTCAAGTCAGCTGTTGAGTCTCTTGACCTGACAAAAATAGGATCCTCTTGAGCATTTTCTATTCTGGATCAGGAATCAGCCTTCCCCAAGGAGCATGGGTTTCTTGGGGTGGGAACTAGGATGTTGAGACCACGTCCTGGATGCTTGTCTGCGTGTATATATCTGAGTTTGTCTACATATACATATATACATGTATACATATATATATATATATGTACATGTTTCAAGAAGTTTATCTTTTTTGTTAGTTTCCCTTTATTTGATCTGTAGCATAAAATCCCGGCACACAAAACATACGAAATTTATAATGGTCTATGGCAGATGGGCTTAGACATCATGAGAATGTCTGTTTCTTCTTTAGTGTTTTCTTTAAAAAAATGTACTCTTATCCTTTATGGAAATAAACTGGTGTCCTCTGTGCACCTTCTATTTTCCTAAAATTTCAAGAGAATTATTTTAGTGAACAAACAAGACAAAACCAACAACTGCGCCTTGAACTTTTATTCTGGGGAAGTTGAACACTCTCATTCCAATGTCTTGGTTAAATCTCTTGAATCTGTGACTAAAGACTTCATCCTCCATCCCATCACCTGCCCTAACACAGACCCCTCCCCTTCCCCCTCTTCTTGCCTTCTCAACAAGATTTTTTATACTTTTTTTTTTTATAAAGTGCCATTTTAATTGAACTAATATTGCTTTATAACATCACACATGCTTTAGGGGTTTATGTGTACACCATTACATGTATGTCACCACATCTATCACCAAAGCATCCAAAATCCACCACCATAGTCCATTAGGCCCCTTCCACACTTTGGTCTCCCCCGCTTTCCCCACATTGCCCTTCATGTAGACTCAGTTCTGCAGTCAGATTTCCAGAGTTTGTTTTGGTTTAGTTTGATCTGTTCCTTTGCTTTGTTTCTTCATATTCCACAGCTTTGTTATGCCTTCCTACTTCTGACCTATGTCACTTAGTATCATCCCTTTGAGTTCTACATTATTGCAAATGTCAAGATTTTATGTTTTTTTTTTTCATAGCTGTGTAGTATTGATTTGAAGGGATATATCTGCACTCCCATGTTCGCTGGAGAGCTGTCTACAATAGCCAAGTTATGGAAACAACCTAAGTGCACAGGGTAGATGAGTGTATAAAGAAAATGTGTTATGTATATACAATGGAATATTATTCAGCTATGAAAAAGAAATATGACTTACAGCTTTCTGTACTCTGTTCCCTTGCTCTGGATTTTTGCATCTATCTTCAGTATTTTCAGTTTTCCCAGAATTTTAATATTTATTATAGTTTTTTTAAATTTATTTATGCATGCAAGACCTGAGGTACAGGCCAGAGATGTGGGGGGTGAGAGGAGTCACCAGAGACAGAGTGGGGAACAGAACAGGCAGACTGACTGAAGTACACTGCTGAGGGGAGCAGTGGACAGAACAGGAGAGGTCTGCTTCACCATGTGAGATGCTCTCTGGCTGGCCGGGGATCGAAATCGTGCCTCATGCTGCAGAGGCTGCGGCTTGCTTCGTAGTGCAGTGCTTAACCACTTGTGTCACCAGGGAGGCCCTAGTTTAATCTTCATTTCTAAAAAAAAAAAATTTCTTTCATTTAGTAATTTTTCCTGTGTTGTCACTTCATTTCTACATTATACTATTTCAGATTTGCGCCTGCAGTAT